AGTCTCACAACAAATTGTTTTCAATAACGGTTATTTTCTCAGAATTTCTTTTCATTATTACTTTTTCCCCCACAATTTATGCAATAACTGGTCTATTTATATCACATATAGGTTTATATAATTTTTCCCCAATGTTTGTGGATACAAATCATATTTTTGATGACGTTCGAATTTTTAAAGAATTATAATATCCTTTCAGTTTTACCAGAACATATGTTGTACCAAACCTTCTTCAGGCTTTAAAAATTTCCTCTATTATGAATATCATGAGTTTTGTCAAACTGAGGAAATGTCCCTTAAATATTTCTTTAAGGCCATTCCCTTTCAGTATTTTTATACTACAGAGTCTACTAAAATGTATTACTTATCTGAGCATAGATGTCTCTTCTGTGAAATTGGAAAGGTAGCCTTTAGCACTTAATATTTTGAGACTTTCTGACTTATATTATCTTCAGGAATTCTATAGGCATCCTTTCTAAAAAGAACAAATAGGTTAATCCGGACATTTGACTTTCCTTCATGGTCATCAGCTTCGATTGTCGACACATATATCGATATGTTTATGAACTATTATATTCATCAGTTAGGCTACGTAACATGTCTGGTTTCAGTAAAATATTTCCATTCTAACTTGGAAAAGCTAATTATTTAACTTTTCTTCTTCCAGAAATTCTTTAACATTTTGGCTCTAATATTCTTTTCTTTAGCAGAACTGCATCTTGCATGGTTTTCTTTGCTTAAGAACTTCCATGAAAGCGTCATGTATATCGTCTCTTTCTCTTACATTCGCTTGCTGAACTAAAGCTTATTTGAGAAAACGTATATCATATATAACTGTATTACATTATTAAATGTTTCTTATGTTCGCATATTTTTTTAAACTGATCGCCTAAAATCGTCAATAGAAAAATAATTTGTTAGCCAATTTTTACGTTTATATTACATTATTTGACTTTCTTGGGTATTTACAACTACTAAGTAGCAAACGTGATGCTTTACTAAGAAGGCATGCATGCCCATATACAATTTGTAGAGTATCTATATTGGCATACCTGCACTTTTTAAAACAATATGTCAAAAGATACGACTGATAAAAAGGATGAGTATGTTTGTATCATACTGCCCGATCTGACTGCAAGACACAAAATATGTTTTCCGTTTTGACCGAAATGTCTGTTTCAAAACAGACAGAAAAATAGTCATTTCAACTGTCATTTGTAGTACTGAAACAGCATTACCATATGTGCACAATCCTGCTAACGTCATTACCAAATATACACAATCCTGCTAATGTCATTACCAAATATACATAATCCTGCTAACGACATTACCAAATATACATAATCCTGCTAACGACATTAACAAATATACAGTTCTGCTAACGTCATTACCAAATATACACAGTCCTGCTAGCGTCATTACCAAATATGCACAATCCTGCTAACGACATTACCAAATAAACACAATCCTGCTAACGTCTTTACCAAATATATACAGTCCTGATAACGACATTACCAAATATACACAATCCTGCTAACGTTATTACCAAATATAAACAGTCCTGCAAAATTGGTCAAAACAAAAACTTGCTCGTTTCACTCCCAACGTTGCTACTATTGACATTTCAAAAGGTCGAAACCTATACCTCAGTAATTCTGCTATGACCTAATATATTTAGTTACATGTTTTAGTTTTTACAGCTGTAATTTGATCGACAGTGCCTAGTGTATTTAGGGTCACTGAAGGCAACTTAATAATCAAATGCCCGTCGTAATAGAACGTAATAGAACCTTGCTAATCAGTTGTGTTGTTCGTCCACAATTGTAAAGTCTTGCAGTATAGTGTGGTGGTTAAAGGTTTTCATCTCATTAGTTTTGTTGAATTTTGAATTCTCAATTGAGTTTCATCACGTATTATGTCCTGACGGTTTAATCCATTTTCATTACATTCATTTGGCTGTTGAGTTTTTTTTAATGTTATCCTTTTTTCATATTTGTTTTATTTTCACAACTTCAAGAACACTTCATTTTTTCACTTTCTTCTCCAGTATCATATTACATTATTTTAAGGACCAATATTTCTAGCTCAAGTGGACCAATTAAACGTTGACTACAATGTTGCCTTTTGTTCGACATGAATTCTATCTACCAATATTGGCATTTTAATCGAAATCAGAATGCCCATCTCCAGTCTGTTTGGTGCTACTCATATGCGTTTCAAAACTTTAATCACAGAACTTGTTCTAATTCAGGTAAGCATGTCTTAGCTACAATAGCTTGACTTTACGGAGAAAGACAAATGTCTTTTAGTATTCAGAAATTGGTTACAAGGTCCACGTGTTACAGAAAAGAGTTTTTTTTCCATTGGAGTACTTATAATAAATAAACATTTGTACCACTGAAAACAAAATGGCCATTTTGAGCCAGTTTGGAGATATGCAATGAATATAATGCTGCAGGACACACACACACACACACACACACATACACACTGAGTCTTTTAAAAAGGCATATACAAAACAACGACAAGACAAACAGAAAACAGAGAAGCGTTGAAGTAGCAAAATATTACATCGCTATTTCGATGGTTATAAAAGTTTCAAACATTTTTAATGTTTCTGCTAGTTGGCTTCAACTTGATGCTGGTGCTAAAAATTATTTTATATTGACCTAAAAAACTTAATGTCGTATATATATATATATATGTATATGTATATGTATATATATATATGTATATATATATATATATATATATATATATATATATATATATATATATATATATATATATACATATATATATATACATATATATATACATATATATATATATACATATATATATACATATATATATATATATATATATATATATATATATATATATATATATATAAAATAAATATATTGTTGAGTCGATCTTTCCTTTATATTTCGTAAACGGCCAAACCAAAATATTTTTTTAAAAAAATATTAAATTTTTATTTATTAATATGTTGATGAATCCATACATGATAATCATGACATAAGACATACTTCAAATGGTACGAACAGCTGCCTCGCTTGGCGCTCATCATTAAGAGGTTAGTGTTAGGACTGGTCGGCCTGGTGTCAGGATAATGTAACTGGGTGGGACATCATGCTACAGTCTGCGGTATGATGCCCAAGTGAAAAAGCTTGCCAGTTATTCTCCGTGGATCGGTGGAAACTTTGTGTCTTTTTTCCCGCTAGGTTCGTCCTATACCAGTTATACTGCCCATCACGCGCATCCTGTGCTGAGAAAAGAGGTTAAACCCAGAATAACAACGATAATCAGAAATTCTCTGTTCTATTCAAACTAAAACATTACCATTTGAAACAAAAATGAAACAAATAAACAAATAAACAGCAATAACAATTTCAGCAATTTGTTTCAGTTCAGTGATAAAATTGCGGTTCCCAATTTATAAAAAGTGAAGCTATTCAACGATTGTTCATAGTACCATCCAATCAAAATCCGGTATAATCCGGTATATTTTTAGAACTATTGATATGCATAGTCATTCGCATGTCACTCATGTACAATGACTCGTTCACTCTTATGAAAAGATTGTATAGACAAACAGCTTAGCACTAATGAAATATGATGACTGACAACTCAAATAGGCCGAGAATAAACTTTCAAACCAAATAAAATAAAAGATTCATTAGCTGACATCTGCTATCGACCAGCAAAGAGCCTTCTCAGGTTACATGAACTAAAAACCCAGAGCTTGTTTATTTCTAAATGTTAAGGTACTGTATTCACTGTTTTGTAGTTGCGCCGTTATATATATATATATATATATATATATATATATATATATATATATATATATATATATATATATATATATATATATATATATATATGACACATAGAAACACAAAGACAGATAAATTGTATAAAAATGTACTGAACTCGATTACTCATGAACAAAGTGTCTAAGATTATAAAGCTTTATTCTTGTGACAGTTATTTCCATGTAAATTTAGGTCACTTCACCACGGAGTTGTATATCGTGGTTTTTTTGAAACTGCATGATAGAAGAACCTCTAACCCTTTAAGGAAACAAGTACAATTTGAATTAGAGTCTGATGATTCAGTTTAAATAAATTACCGTTTATATTCAAATAAATTACTGTTTGTATTCATCTATAGGTCGTGCCCACCTGCAAACTGCATAGACCCAGAGTTAATGTTACATTTTGCGCTGGCAGAACTAGGTCTGTTAGGAGTATCACTAGAACAATAAAACATCGATCATGATCTACCAATGCGACAGTATATCTGAGTCTGTGCTGTTTGCAATTTGACCCAGATTTTTAAGAGTGTGTTAACTTTAATCTGTGATTAAACCTGAATTATTTATTTCCAAAGAAAACAACTTTGGTTTGAGCCGAAAAAGAATAAATGCATGTCTAATTTCGACCTTGTACTCCATTAATTATTCAAGTAAAAATGGTGCATACAGTTTATTTAATTTTTTTAGAGCGAAATTTCTTTCTTGCGAAAACCACAATGCTTGTCTCAAGTGACACTAACTGTAGACATCTGGGAACGTTTTCACAACTAACTGACACATAATTCTGACATTTAAAGACGGGGATATATAACTCTGGATTTAATATTAAAATACCTTCTTGAGGAAACAAGTTGATGACGTTATGGGCATTATTTTAGCTAATTACTGCTATTACTATTTTCTTTCAAATTTTTATGACTAAATTATTCCTAGATTGGTGATGTGATTGTGATTTTTAACGTAACTTTAACACTTGTTCAGTCATATCGCTACGATGTCTGCAGTGTGGAAGTTTATAGTGATGTATAGCACTGGGGCATAATGCCGCAGACATGTACCATGATGCCCCACCCAGTCACATTATCCTGACACCAGGCCGACCAGTCCTAACACTAACCTCTTAATGATGAGCGCCAAGCGAGGCAGCTGTTAGTACCATTTTTGGAAGTCTTTGATATGGCTCGACTGGAGATTGAACCCACGACATTCCGCATCCGAGGCGGACGTTCTAAAGATTAGGCCACCGGAGCTGTTTTATTCCAAGATTGGAACCTTATGATTAACTTAATTTTATACAGACTGCTCATAGTAAAGTTAAGTTCAAGCATGTACATGATTCGAAAACTTTATGAAATTTCAGTTTTCGCGTCAAATAGAAACACAACAAAATATGAATCGGATACGTTGCCTTTCAAGATTTTATTGAGCTTTTTATAAGTAATGTCTAATTTATGAGTACGTGTGTGTTTTTAGTTACGGATACACGCATTTATGCTGGCATCTATCAATATGGTGACAAATGATCACAGTAAAATGTGTTTAAAGCAAAAATGACGATAGTCTGAAACGGACACATAAATTTTATTGGCGTTGTTGTTCTCGACAGGTTTTAGACCCTTTCATCCCGAATCCATATCCACCTACAACTAGCTTGTAAATTTCAAACAAAACTGGTTTGACATTTGTATTCTCAGAATAGAGGTAGTCTTGGAGTAATTTGCATCAGATTCCTCCAGGGAGCGCACAGTATAATTGTTCATTATTTCAATCATGAATGGAATCGGAATTTGATTGATACACACCCACTATTTTAATCTTATTCATCAGAGTTACTGGGAATGGCAAGAGGAGCTGTAGAATTAGATTCTGATATCAAGCTATATTAACAGAGTATTATTGCAAGGGTCAATCTTAAATATTTAATGCCGAGCTAAATTCGATAACAATATTGTGTCACAGACTATGAAGACAGTAAATTTGAAACGTTTTTTTAAATTTGTCTATTTCCATGACTGCAGGTTGCCAATTTCAAAGCAATTAGGATCTTGAAAGAAAAGAATGGTATATTTAAAAAAGAAGAAAAAAACGTTACCTTTAATGCTAAGAGAGCATTTTATCGGAGAAAGGTAACTTTTACAGCTAAGTGCAAACTGTTACACAAAATCAATATTCTCGCAAGCATTATGTATTTGCTGTGGGAGAACACAATTTGTAAATTTTCAAGGAAATCCTGAGAAATACGAGTCCGAACTTAAACGAGACTGGTCTCCATATAAATAGAGTTTAAACCCAAAAATCAAATTTCTATAACACAAAAGTTTCTTAAATATTTTGTATTCAGTATTTATGATTTGTTGAAATAAAAAATAACATGAAGTGAGACTGAAGCTCAGATCTGAATTCAATTAAAGAATAATACATAATAATAACAATTTCTTGTTATATTATATTTTAAGAGTACATGTAATTAAATTAAATCTTAGTTCATTTAACATGGAATAACATTTTAACGATTAATTTCAATTTTTGTATTCAACACAGATAATATTATGTGTTCTGTTCAAATGTCAGGAACCAAAAGTATCGTCATGCTTGATTTCATAGCAGATAATATCATGTTTCAGAAATCATGCTGTATATTGGAAATTCTTGGGAATATTTACTTAAGAATGATAAATGTATTTTAAGCCGAAGCCGACAAATCTATAGAACAAAAAGAGAATTACACCCAGTTTTACTTTTAGAAAATCATCAAGTAGTGCATTAGATATAACCCCTATTTCCTGACGTTCATGTTCATCATTCAAATATTTCGGCTTTTTCAATACTGAAAGTAGTCTAGTCCCTAATAGAAACGTTACACGGGAGAAGACTCTGACAATATCTAGACTCGGTTTATTTTTGTTATCTTCCTTTACCTGTTTGATATTCTTCCTTGTCGATAGAAAATTAGATATTAATCATAGAGTGCAGATATGAATATGATCTGCAACTATTTTAAGACCCATACACACACAGATTTATAGATACAAAACTTACTTTTGATGATATTAACACAAAAACATACAAGCGTAGCCTGGTGTTCGACCTTAAATGTAACCAATATCATCCATCTTCGCGTTCCTATAATTGTCTTGACAAATGGATCCAGTGGAGACTTTAGGGAAGTGTGATGGTGTGGACCGCACCGGGTGACACCTCAGATGAGGTAACACCAACATGATTGTCTATAAATTTTTTAATTTTTGTGCAGGAAGGATGTCTTTGAGGGTGACACCTTGGGGTACCGCACTGGGTGACACGAACACTTGTGACGCCATTGGACGGAATTGTCTGTCTTTTACGTTTAAGAACTTACCCATTGAATTATAGAATATGAAAGCTTGTTTAGAAATCTTTATGTCGCATTAAGTAGAATATATTGTTTAATTCCATGATTATTCACAAAATATTCAAAACCAAAGAAATTTCTAAAAATTATATATATATATATATATATATATATATATATATATATATATATATATATATATATCTATCTATATATATATATATATATATATATATATATATTGCACATACCATAAAACCAACCATTTTGTTTATTAACTCCTTATTTTATCAAGTAAAATCCTTTAGTTCTTTTGATGGGACACGTGGTTTATAAGTAAAATAACTGACAGCGTCAAACCTTGTGGCTCAGTCATTATTGTGCTGGAAGAACAATAAAGTAGTCGAGGGTTCAAAGTCTGCCAGGACCGGCCTACACTGAATATTGTAGTGTTATTAGATGCTTCTAAAACATCAATTTATATGTGTGTGTTTGCAACAAGTACGGTAGAGAAGATTTTGGCATTACCCCTATTTCATTACCTGTATATTTTGATACGAGTCTATGGTTTTCAAGTAAGTAACCGATAAAGCAAAACCAGCAGATTTTGTAAAACCATCACATAATTTAAGTCCTTAAGTTATCAAAATTAAACTTTAATAATATCCTACAGTGTAGTGAATTAAATCACAAATTATCCTAAAGGTTCTTTCACAAGTCCAAAAGTATAGAGTGTTCTGAATGAATTCCGATGTGTTGACGTACCAATAACCTTGAATAGCTTTAATGTACTAACTGCAGAGAAAACGATCCAGGCGGCCTAGTGGTTAGAGCGTCTGCCTCGGATGAGGGAGGTCATGGATTCGATACCCGGTCGAGTCATACCAAAGACTTACAAAAATAGTAATAACAGCTGGTCGGCCTGGTGTCAGGATAATGTCTGTGGCATCACTATAAACTGCCACATTGCTGACATCGTAGCGATTTGACTGAAAAATTGTTAAAGCTACGTTAAAAATCATAATCAATTCACATCTAACACCACATATATATGACAGTTTTTATAATCCAGAATGTCTTTGAATGATAAATAAACTAAAAGATTTTTATTTGTGAGTAGTAGGAGAAAGTAAGAATCCGAGCTCAACAACCCCCTCCAGACCTCCAAACAAATACAAAATACCTAGGTAACGTAATAGAAAACCTATTGCAATCAATAATTGCGTTAAGAATCCGAGCTCAACAAATACAAAATACCTAGGTAACGTAATAGAAAACCTATTGCAATCAATAATTGCGCTAAGAATCCGAGCTCAACAACCCCCTCTAGACCTCCAAACAAATACAATAGAACACCTGTTGCAAAATACCTAGGTAACAGGTAAAATTTAATTACGTGATCTTCCAGAATAAGCAGAATGATATGTCAGACTCAATTTTCCAAATCATTACGATTTAGCAGAGCGTGGCGATTGTGGACTAAATTACGCATTAGAATTCCAGTAAGGTAAGTGGTGTTATACCTCATTACCAACTGTTAATGTCTCAACTGTAGATATCAAAAATATTTCATTATCATGGTAATAGAGGCTAAACTTTATTTTACCGCTGACATAACGACGGGACTCAAACAAATCTTTTATTTGTGATTTGTTAAGAGGGTATTTTTTGTCGATAAAATACAACTTTGACCGATCAAGATCAATTGTAAGTTTGGTGTATTTTTGCTGACTAATCGGACAGTGAAAGTTTTTAAATTCCGCAAGCAACTTTTGATACAATTGTTCGAGATAATTAAAATACTCGCTGTCATCAGATCTGATGAGCGAAAGTTTTAACTTGTCACGGGTACCACTAAAGCATATGCCTGATGTTTCATTATTAATTTCAACTGTCAATGGTTTGCCGTCCATCATTAGATATTTGATTTTGCTACTGTAGCTATTTGTTACTGTCAAATTTTCAAGCATTATTTTTAAAGTTTAGATAAAATTTTAGTTTGCAAAGATAATGTCAAATATATCTCTATCATCATGACAATACCCAAGTGCAAATGTATCTACCCCATTTTCGCAATAACGTTTATCATCAAAATTGCTCAAACCGCGTTTGATAATGACATCTGTTTCGAGTTTATGATGATTAGTTCGAATTGCCATAGCTTTCATAAAACTAACACCACCATCAAGCGCGTACTTGTAGTCATCAAATTTTATAAACTTTTTAACAAAATCACGAGGCAGACCTTTTGCTTTTTTTGTTATTTTATTATTGTCTAACAATACGGCATACATTTTACTACGTAATCCGATAAAGTATTTGATAGCGCTCGAGTTCATTTCATCTTTGAACTTACCAATAACCTTTTTATTTGTGTCGTCATGAAATTTGCTGTCACGTGGGTAATCGGAAAGATCAAACAGATATCTATTATCATGCATATCCTGATAGATGTCCTCGCATTCGATTTCATATACGAGCGAATCAGTATCAGTAAATAATAATCTACTAGCCGGCCATTGATTTTTAACAAAATTATAATGAAAATCGTACATCAGCCACTTTGATAAATCTAACACTGAAGCTCCAACATAGATCGGCTTGTTTAGTTTTAGATTTGTTTTTCTTCTTTGTATCGCAACAAGATTCTCATTAAATATTTTCATGCTCACAAAATCATCGTCTGACACAAGTTTGTTTCTGCGATTGACATCATTGACTAGTTCGATATTTACGCGTTTCCTAATATTCTCCATCGTCTTACCAAAAACGGAATTGTTCATCAGTTTGAAAAAGTTTTTCTCAAAATCAGTTTTTGCCGCAGCTCTTCTTGTAGTGTTTGAGTTAATATAACCTCTCATCCACGGCGACTGATTAAATTTTAGTACGCGATGAACTTTTCTCAACACGAGACCAGCAT